ATGCAATACATTACTGAGTACCACTCTCCATATTTGCATAGTGGTGGCTGCATCATGTTATGGGTATGCTTGTAATCGTAAAGAACTGGGGAGTTTTTCAGGATAAAAAAGAAATGGAATGGAACTTAGCACAGGCAAAATCCTAGAGAGAAACCTGGTTCAGTCTGCTTTCCACCAGACACTGGGAGATGAATTCACCTTTCAGCAGGACAATAACCTAAAACACAAGGCCAAATCTACACTTGAGTTGCTTACCAAGAAGACAGTGAATGTTCCTGAGTGGCCTAGTTACAGTACTGACTTAAATCTACTTGAAAATCTATGGCAAGACCTGACAATGGTTAGTTTAGCAATGATCAACGACTAATTTGACAGAGCTTGAAGAATTTTGAAAAGAATAATGGACAAATGTTGCACAATCAAGGAGTGGAAAACTCTTAGAGACTTACCCAGAAAGACTCGCTGCCAAAGGTACTTCTACAAAGTATTGACTCAGGGGTGTGAATACTTATGTAAATTAGATATTTCTGTATTTAATTTTCAATAAATGTGCAAAAATTGTCATGGGGTATTTGAATCAATTTAAAATTCAGGCTGTAACAACAAAATATGAACTAAGTAAAAGTGTATGAACTCTTTCTGAAGACACTGTAAATATCCCCAAATATGTTTACATCCATGTACTCTGAAATATACAGTTTCATCAACAGCTTACAGAAACACACTAAAATCAACAACTCTACTGGCTTTATGCAGAGTGTATGTATTTTAGAATATACAGTATAATAAACATAAACACAGCATAGTCATACTCATTTTGCAAGCCATGTTTGTGCATAACTTATGGACTAACAACATCAGGGGGACCAGAAAAATACTCTCTCAAAGTCCATAAAATAAATTAAATATTTTTAATTGTCTGAAAATACATTGATCTTTGCTCCATCTTTTCACAACAAAGCCTGATGCAGTCTCTGCCATTCGTAATGGAGAAAGAGACAGGGAAAACAACTTCTCCTGGGCATAAGAACAGCAATGGTATGGGCACAGTGTGGCAATGATTGAGTCCTTTAATAAAAATAGCAATGGTAAAGTTGTGAGGTGTGGTAGACAGCGAACAAATTACATAAGAATAAATTACATTTCCCAGCCCTAGTGTGAAACTTCCTCTGTAAATGATGGATGTTTTACTTAAAGTGACTCATTGATTTGTTTATTTTGTAATCAAACTTTAAGACAAAATTTGCCTCCTCAGAATTTACATCAGCTTGGTGTCGCCATAGTTGTTTAGGACAAAACCATTTAATCTGTAAACAACAAACTTTCAAAACCATGTGTGTGCATTTGATACACAGCATGGCTAGTTCACATCATTTGAAGAGGAAATAAAAGGTGTATCTCCAAAACCCATTTGTTTATAGTCAAGAATTTCAGGATTTCTGAGAAGAAGAAAAAATAAGAAAATATACCCGGTCAACGACACAATGGTAGGTAAACAATTTATCCAGGAATGTCAAGAGACAATCAGTTCAATTGTAACTCAGGCAATGAGAATACAGTCTTGAATGGCAGTGAAGAACTCTCTAGCCCAGTGAGTGCCTGAAGAGAAATGGAAGATATTTCCCATTGCCTCCATACTTGTTATTCGTCTTCTTTGCATTCTCTCATTCAGTCTCTAATGTCTTTGTCCAGTCTTTACCTCAGGCATACATGACTACACTATATGATGGGGCTGAGGTATCCTTGCTGGGTAGCTTTATTGAGGGCAGCTTTAGTGAGTTGGACTGCATTCCATTCTTGCCACCGACCACAAGGGAGGTAATCATGGCCATCTGGCGTGGCTAGATGGTGGAGTGTGAGTTGTTGTGCATGCGGGTGAAGACCTCTTTACAGCGTTTCCCCACCAGGTACAGGATCTCAAAGAAGGAGAGCAGGATACAAGCCAGACTGGTGACCACCATGAAGATGGTGAAGATCCGCTTCTCAGTGGGGCGAGCGATGAAGCAGTCCACCTTGTTGGGACAGGGCTTCTGCTCACACTTGATGAGGGAGGGGAAGTCATAGCCCTTGTAGATATAGTAGATTAAATACACAAAGGTGGCGTCCACGGCCATCTTGAAGACCAGGGTCAGGATGTAGGTCCACCACAGCCCTCCGCGCTTCTTACCGGTGTTCGTGTAGAGTTTCTGGCAGCCCTCGCCGTATTTTAGCGTGTGTTTACGCTCACGTTCATCTCTGTAGGCTACGTGCATTACCACCAGGAGAGAGGGACATGTGACGAAGATGAGCTGCAGGGCCCACAGGCGGATGTGGGACACAGGGAAGAAGTGGTCGTAACAGACGTTGTGGCAGCCAGGCTGGGCCGTGTTGCACGTGAAGTCTTTTTGCTCGTCGCCCCACACATTCTCGGCCGCCACGACAAACACCATGACCCTGAAGAGGAAGACAATGGACAGCCACACACGGCCGAATGCCGTGGAGTACTTGTTCACCCCACTGAGGAGGCCCTGGAGGAATGCCCAGTCCATTGTGAGGCGGACTCACAATCTACCACTCTGACGAAAGTTATTACGGAATAATTAGTGTGAGAAACTATTTTTGGTTGATAACTGTTGGAGTGTTCTTCACTTTCAGCAATCTTTAGAAAAAGAGAGAGTAAGTGGGGAAAAGATTAGGCCTTGAGTATGAGTGAACAAAAGGACACAAACAACTGGTGTCACCTGTTTCCCAAGTGTAAAAAGTAATTCCCAACCAAATAACAGGTAGCTATTTTCACACTTGCGGTCTTCTTTTAAAATTAAATTGAATGATAAAGTTAATGTATTAAGGATGATAAAAGCCCCCATGTTCTACAAGCACATGACATGATTCCTATTGAGTAGCAAGTTACAGTGCCTTCAGAAAGTATTCACACCCCTTGACTTTTTCCAAATTTTGTGTTGTGTTACAAAGTGGGATTCAATTGTATTGAATTGTCATTTTTTGTCAACGATCTACACAAAATACACTGTAATGTCAATGTAGAAGAAAAATTCTAACATTTGTACAAAAAGAATAAGTATGAAAAATAAAACACTAATATATCTTGATTACATAAGTATTCAACCCAGAGTCAATACATGTTAGAATCACCTTTGGCAGCGATTACAACTGTGAGTCTTTCTGGGTCAGTCTATAAGACCTTTCCACACCTTGATTGTGCAACATTTGCCCATTATTATATTTTCAAAATTCTTCAAGCTCTGTCAAATTGGTTGTTGATCATTGTTAGACAACCATTTTCAGGTCTTGCCATAGATTTTCAAGCAGATTTACAGTCCCAGTCAAAAGTTTGGACACAAGAGTGTGCAAAGCTGTCATCAAGGCAAAGGGTGGCTATTTGAAGAATCTCAAATATAAAATATATTTTGATTTGTTTAACACTTTTTTCGTTACTACTTGATTCCATATGTGTTCTTTCATAGTTTTGATGTCTTCACTATTATTCTACAATGTAAAAATTTTTACAAATAAAGAAAAACCCTTGAATGAGTAGCTGTGTCCAAACTTTTGACTGGTAGTGTAAGTCCAAACTGTAACTCAGCCACTCAGGAACATTCACTGTATTTTTGGTAAGCAACTCAAGTGTAGATTTGGCCTTATTACTTTAGTGCTTTGTTGCAAACAAGATGCATCTTTTTGAATATTTGTATTCTGTACAGGCTTCCTTCTTTTCACTCTGTCAATTAGTATTGTGCAGGAACTATAATGTTTTTGATCCATCCTCAGTCTTCTCCTATCACAGCCAAACTCTGTAACTGTTTCAAAATCACCATTGGCCTCATGGTGAACTCTCCGAGTGGTTTCCTTAATCTCCGGCAACTGAGTTAGGAAGGACGCCTGTATCTTTGTAATGACTGGGAGTCTTGATACACCATCAATAGTGTAATTAATAACTTCACCATACCCAAAGGGATATTCAAAGGCTTTTTTTTTTTTTTTTTACCCATCTACCAATAGGTGCCCTTCTTTGCGAGGTATTGGAAAACCTCTGGTCTTTGTGGTTGAATTTGTGTTCGAAATTCACTGCTCAACTGAGGGACCTTACAGATAATTGTATGTGTTGGGTACAGAGTGGAGGTAGTTATTCAAAAATCATGTTTAAAAACTATTATTGCACACAGAGTCCATGCTACTTATGTGACTTGTTAAGCAAATTTTCACTCATGAACTTATTTTAGGCTTGCCATAACAAAGGGGTTGAATAATATCGACAAGACATTTCATATTTTCATTTTTAATTAATTTGTAAACATTTCAAAAAACATAATTCCACTTTTGACATTTTGGGGTATTATGTGTAATCCAGTGACAAAACATCTACATTTATTCCATTTTAAATTCAGGCTGTAACACAAAATGTGGAAAAAGTCAAGAGGTATGAATACTTTCTGAAGGCACTAACTATTGCATTCAGAGTGGTAGGCCTAAACATTATTAACGGACACATTTATCGTTTTTATAACAGACAGTTAGGAAATAAACTAGTTGCCAAAGCCTAATTGTTGATTCTTGTCAGTGCGCTGGAGAGAATAATTGTCCCAAACTTGATCTCTGCAATCATCGAAAAAGAATCCAAACTTGATCTCTCTCGCAATCTTTACCTAATAGCCTTACAGTACAGCTATTGATTCACAGGTGGAAATCTAAACAAATAATGTACTTACACTTCAAAATGATTTTATGAAGAAAGGACCATAAACCCTGTCAGGAAAGTTGCAGTCCGTATCATAATGGAAATCACATAGCAACGTTTTCGTGAACGTTCAATTTATCCAGGTGGGGCAGGTGTGGCTCGTGAACAAACCATCGAGGTGAGTGTTTTCGCCGCCCACTTAAATGTTATTCAGGCTGGAGCGGCTGATCATAGGCTTTTATTTCAGACCCTTTGTCAAAAATAGGAGTTCTTTTATTTTTATTTTATTGAAGACCCATAAACTTAAAATAATGAAATATATAATACAACCTCTTAGAATTTTTGGGGTACATTGTGAATGACAAATCCTAAAAGACAATTTTATAGAGGAAATTTAAGTATTTGTATTCACTATACAGTCCTATACTGTATCAACAACATAGAAAACGGTTTCTTTTAAATTCAGAAAATGTGAAATTGATACAGCAGATGTTCATGTTCATTATAAAAAGTGTTTATTGTAATATTTACATCACAGAGAAGGTGGGACCAACAGGGAGAATCCATGTACACCAGATGAGTCATGGACATGTGCAGTACATGATACAACCTGAGCACAGTTTACCATTCTGCAGTCTGACACTGCACATCTTTTTCACACATACAGGTCACACACACACACAGCTACACACATATACAACAGTCACTCTTCTGTCCTTCAAGTTAAACATACTCTCCACAGTCTGAAATGATCACTTTCTGCTTGGGCTTGCCTTCTTTTGTTCCTTGTGCCTGTGGGGACAGAAAACATGACATGAGTCTTGGTATACAACTTCAGTCTGTAACCACCTATAGGACCCTTCTTCCCCTCCATGGGAAAATCTCAATTGCCTACTCCTCACGTCCCCTCTCATTGTCTCCTTCTCAAAACCCATTGGAGGAGAGTCAGAGGGTAGGGACCTCTGGCTTTCTCATCCAATGGGTTTAAGAAGGAGACGAGGAGAGGACGCAAAGAGTATGCAATTGAGATCTTCCCCATGCATGTCCCTCCCCTCCTCTTACCTCCATGGCTTTTACCACCTCCATGCCCTCCATCAACTCTCCAAACACCACATGTTTATTATCCAGCCAATCCGTTTTGTCGCAGGTGATGAAGAACTGAGAGCCGTTGCTGTTTGCTCCAGAGTTAGCCATGGAGAGCTGACCTATTACACACAAGAGAGGGGCGCATTAGGAAGTCATCCTCATGTGATCAGAAACCATACTCATTCAAATCTGCATATGGCAATGCATCATGCACTTCCTCACCACTCTACACATTCATTCACAGACATACAGATATTTACACCTGGACAGGGACGTGTCTCACCTGCAGCAGTATGTTTGAGGACAAAGTTCTCATCGTCAAACTTTCGCCCGTAGATGGACTTGCCCCCGGTGCCATTGTGGTTGGTGAAGTCTCCTCCCTGACACATGAACTGTGGGATGACGCGGTGGAAACTGCTGCCTTTGAAGCCAAAGCCCTTCTCATGTGTGCACAAGCAGCGGAAGTTCTCTACAGGAGATTTGAGGGAATGATGCTTCTATTTAATAGGACTAGAGAAACTTAATTGGCTGGATCTTTCCAGCTTTACATAAGATCTCTTTTGATACTGTCTAAATATCCCTCTAATGACAGTGTTCTACTTTCAGAAATGTCCCTGGTACTTTATAACAAGGAACAGCATGGATACCTGCGGTCATAGGAACAATGTCTGCTCGGAGCAGGAAGCGCAGTCTCCCTGCTGGCTTGTTGCCAATCTTGATGTCCATGTAAACCTGGGGGTTCGTTCTGCCCTTCTTGGCTGGGGGCTCGCTCTGCAATCAATGATAATATATTATTGTGACAGGCTTTTACAATATAAGATGTTATTACTCAATGTACTACATTCACAGAGACCGACAGGAACACACACACAACTTACATCTGCTGTTGTTGATTTGGCTGATTCTCCAGTGGACTCCGTCACCTCAGCCTCTTCGGCGGTCGTTCCCGAGAACTTTTTCAGCCAATCATCATCCGACCAAACTGAGGAAATGGCATAAAGTTAGTGGTTTTATCACATCTATGGAGTTTGATTATAGGTGAAAGCCATGGGACAGTTGAAGTCTTTATAGAGAGACTAATACATATCACTCACCTGGACGAGAAGAGCCCTTTTTGATCCTCATAGGTTTGGCGATGTTGACCCGGATGGTTCTTCCAAACAACTCTGACTCATTCTGTCAATAAAACAGAGGAAAAACGTGCATCAATGAGAATGGTTCAATACCACAGCTTTGAAAAATGTGAGTCACTGTCTCAGAGTACATACTACCAAAACAGGGGATAATGCAAAGGTCTATTAGTTAAACCAAACTGACTTTAGAAGCAGACAGTGTTTCACTCACCATGTTATCAATAGCAGCAGCAGCATCCTGTGGAAGATGAAAGAATCACAAAACATTACAACACAATCATCCTGATGGCCAATGACCATCCACCACAACCACTAGATGGCGATCCATGCTGAACCCTGAGCCGATGGAATACACACACATTTGTTAACTGGCCATATCCAACATAATATGGCATACTTGCATAGAGGTTGATTAAACTTACCTCAGCCAATTCAAATTCAATAAAGGCGAATCCTCTGTGCTTCTCTGCAAAGCAAACAATATAATGAGACATGAACTTCTGCTCTAACGTTAAACGTTCATGGTTTCATCTCCAGTAGCAGTTAACTCTGGCTAAGTAGCCAGGAAGGATGGATGAGTTTCTCTTCACTGATTACGTTTTACGTTTATGCAAAACTCTGAATGGTAAAGGTATTTCTTCTCACCCGTTTCATAGTCTATTGGAATCTGAATATCTGTGACATCCCCGAACGGAATGAACGCCGCATGCAGTACTTTTTCGTCCACCTCCTCTGTGAGACCACCTGTCAACACATACAGTCACGTTAGCTAGCCTGCTATGAGCTGAGTCAATCAAAGTTGTAAATGATCAGATAAATTAAACGGTTTCTTAGATGTCTTTGATTTCATATTAAACCATAATGAATGTGGCTTTAGCTACAACAACCAAGAAGTTGCTAAACGTTAGCAAGTTACTGTAGCTAGCTAACGTTACTTTCCTAGTAACGTTAAACACATTTGCTGCCTGCAACTAACTTTATCTAGCTAACCAGCTAGCTAGACATCTTACAGACTGGTCCACTACCGTTAAATGTAAATTATGTGAAGCTAAATTGCCAGGTAACTTCTAACATAGGTTTCATTCAACTACACAGCAACAATATATAAAAAGTGAGGCGTATCCAACTCACCAACATAAAGAACTCGTTTGGTCGAAGCCATCTTGTATCTAACCTTTAACCCTTGCAGGGTTGCCACGTCTAGCTTAACATTTCTAGCCGAATTACTTCTGAAAACCTTCCCACAAGGCCTGAAAAATACACCCAAAAATGTTTTCGCAGCAAGAGAGTAGTTGCCACATTGATTAAATAAACCCTTTTCCATAACGTTATCGAGCGAATTAAGAAGGAATATAGACGTCATTTTCTAAGAAGCAAAATTCGGTTTTCCATCAATATAACAATTCATGCTAGTTTAAAGAATATGTCACAAGAGAAAAGATAAATCACCCTTATTAAACTCTCCAGATCATTTTCCATCAATGAATGTCGATTTAACTTGTTTTGACTGCTATGATTAAGCAATAAGTCCTGATGAGGTGTGGTATATAGCCAATACCATGGGCTTAGGGCTGTTCTTAGGACATAGCCCTTAGTCGTGGTACTGTATATTGGTCATATACCACAAAGAACAGCCCTTAGCCGTGGTATATTGGCCATATAGCACAAACCCCTGAGTTGCCTTATTGCTATTATAAACTGGTTCCCAACATAATTAAAACAGTAAAAAGTATGTTTTTGTCATTCCCTTGGTACACATCTGATATACCATGGCTTTCAACCAATCATCATTGAGGTGAACTGTAAATAAATCCTGTTTGCACATGTGCATAATAATAGATAAATCCGACAGGAGCCTTTGAATGAGGAAAGTTGGACAGAGGATCTCGAAATCTCTGTGCAAGAAACACTTGGACGAACTTCAAAAAACGAATGTTAGGCTATTCCTGGCAATTGTACCTTTATTATGTGCCAGATGTTAAGACTACAAACCATTATAAATGGCATATTTGCGAGATTTACTTGTTATTTCAATAGGCATAGGCTACTGACTAAAATCTGGGTTTATAATTGCAAATCAATTTTGCCATGGTTTGCTGAACTAGATGCAGGTAGCCTATAGCCCCTGATAGGCCAACATGTCATTTCAGGTAAAAGTCCACAATGAAATTAACATTAAATGTGGGGAATGATACGTTTGCGATAGAGCTGTGACCATGATTACAATTGATAGCATCTAATTTAATTAACTAAACATGGCTATTAATAATTGCATAATAACACAAGGCTACAACAACAAACTGAGTTATAGGCTATTTATTAAATCAGTTTGCCAGCTCCAGGTAGGCTACACAAGTGGCACAAATTGATTTGCAATGACTCCAGTAATATCGTCATTTCAACATACTGTATTTATTGTATCAAATGGTAGGCTACAGTAGCATATCAATTAATAGCCTACTTAATGGCCAATGGATGCAAATGTAGCCTATCATTCTCCACATTTAATGCCATGTTCATTGTGGACTTTCCCCATAACACAAGCACGCGAGGTAGTTCTATAACTTCCATTTCAAATGTCCACTCGCGCAGCGCTCCAGACCCTAGAACTGATCATGAGTAACACCCTTCGCTTGATACGGTTATCCGTCGACATTAGAATGCAGTTTACTTTAAACTAGTGGTTCCCGACCAATCTAAATAGCCTACCTACAACTGGTAAAAAGTTGTCACTACGTGCGCGCGTGCTGCTCTGTCTCCACGACTCAGCTGCAGCAGTCTCTCAACCAATGCTCTCAACGCACCACACCCCTCCGGCCCTCCACCATTCACTCACTCAGTCAGTAACAGCCTGCTCACTGCCTGATAGTCAGCAGCAGCAGGTCACAGTGAAATATATATATTGTAACGACCCGGTATTGTGTTCTGTGTTCGTGGGTGTGTTATTGTTCTCATGGGTGCTAGCAGGGGTTAAATATGCTAGGACAGACAGAAAGGTTGGGGGGTTTTGAAATGCATAAATAGGGGTTACTGTCTCATCTCTCTCTCTTCTGTTCGGGACCCTTAACTTGACATGTTATATTTGTGTACGTTAGGCAATTTAGCGGCGTGGTCTGTGGCCTGAACAATAGCCCAATTTAGGAATAAACCTGTGTTCTGCCCTGTACACCTTGTGCCCGTCTTTTTTGTTTCCTTTATGACCCAGCTGGGTCATTACAATATATATATTTCAATTGAAATGCCATGGCAGCCTTGGTGTAATTTATAAGTAGTCACCCGCGACCAATACATTTTCACCCGCGCATCGTTTTCAAAGTGGCACAAATTTCCGGGAAAACAACGAATCTGGCAACACTGAACCCTTGACCTCAGCAAGACTCGTAATTGGTCCATTACAACCCAAGGCTGCCTTCTTCTTCTGGGATTTTATATGGCGGTAGGCAACCAACTTTAAAGGTACATTACTGCCGCCAACTGGACTGGAGTGTGGACCAGAGACAGGGAAGGTCTAAAAAACCCTACCCATTAATCTAGTCTCATTAAAGAAAACGAAATTCACAATTAAATACATCACCTGAAGGTTTCTTTAACAATTCACTTAAACTTGGCTCTTGTACACCATTACTCCTTAAATCTAATAACAATCTCTCCCTTTCTCTCCCATTGAATAGTGCTGGCACTGAAATAGAACATGTTCCACAGTCTCCATCTCCTCTTGACAGTGATCACACTTCCCAGTTGGATGTTTTCCTACCAATATTAATGTGCTGTTGAGCCTTGTGTGTCCCAGTCTCAGCCTTGTGATTACACTTTCCTCCCTTCTCTCTCGACCAGAGGACTTCCCTGCCCCCACCCTTTCCTGGATCTTATACAGGTGTCTTCCCTTTCCCTTTCCCTCCCTGCTCCACAACTCTTGACATTTGTTTTTAACCACAGTTCTTATTAACCCCTTGGCTTTTGCTTTACTGATTGAGATCTCCATGTCAACATTAGGATGTTTGAGAGCCTGCTTGGCGAGAACATCCACCTCCTCATTCCCCTCTACTCCCACATGAGCTTGTACCCAGAGGAACCTCACGAATACCCCATCTGTCTCACCCTAAACAGGCACTGCAAAATATAATACAATACATCTTGTCTGCTCTGTGACACAAATTAATTTAAGCTAATCAGTGCTGAACATGAGAGAGCAGATGACTACCCTGTCTGGCCTCACCTCCCCCACCCACTCTGTAGCCATGAGTATGGCCAGGAACTCCAATGTGTATACAGATAAATTATCCGTTGCTCTTTTTGTCACTGCCACCAGGAACACTAAAAGCTGCACCTGTCCTCCCCGTTTTAGGGTTCTTAGATCCATCAGTGAATATATTCAAGAAAGCATAGTACTGTGTTCTTAAATGTTGACTTACAATGTTTACTGGAGCTACTGCTTCCTCACCAGCTCGTACCCTCTCAAGCAACCCTAGGTCTATCATTGGCTGAGGGAGAAACCAAGGTGGGATACAAAAGCCTGTCTCTCTGTTGATCCACTTTTGAGCTCTGGCGCCACCAGTCTTTGCCATTTAAAAATGCTGGTTCAGGCATAACCAGGGGTGTAATCATTATTTTAAATAGTTGTAAAACGTTCTGTTTTGTGATGAAAACTAGCGTTTCTATTGGACAGATTCAGGTACTGTAGGTCCCTCCCTGTTTGCTGAACATGTCCAATAGAAACGCTAGTGTTCGTTGCAAAACTTAATGTTTTCCAACTGTTTGGCATGATTACACCCCAGTGACACTCCACCAAGCGGAAATCCTATGGCCTCATCAACTCATCAAAATAGTCCGTTTTTGTCACCGTTGTTGGCTAGTTGGTATAATAGTGGTCTCAGTCCTCAATTCCAGAATCCTACATTTTATTTATTTTATGCTCCCCAGCCTGCGAAGGTAGCTAGTTTAATGTACCATACTTTTTTGGTTTTGTGAAATGAATGAATAATTTGACCATTAACCAAAATCTAATATTTCTTCAATGCTTCACTTGAGCAATGCAATCTGTAAACACTAGGTGGCTATGGTAGTACGCAAACTATAGTGGAAAGGAAAAACAAACAATGTGGTAAACTTGATATATGAATCGCTTTATTGAGAATACCATATACCACACCACCCATGATAACATGATGGGATGGAGGAATCCAAATTGTTCAAATCATCAAACACAAAAATTTCAAACAAAGAACTAAGAGCAAAGCTCATTTTCCTTATAGAAAAAGGGTATTTCCTGTCTACAAAATAAAGGGACTTATTTAGTTCGGAGAATTCCCTTAATTTTTGTTTTTGGTAAAGTTTAAAATTATTACACAACTAGAAAAATGAAGTACTATAATATTTGTTTCAATACTCAAGTACGTTTTTATTTTTGCATAGGATTTTGTAGAGATGACCCAGGCATTTGAAGCCAATGTAGTAATCTCTCCCCGTCTTTTCTCAGTTGTCTGCGTCCTAGAAAGAAAAACAAGCATTGGATGAGAAATATTATTATTATTATTATACACTGTTCAAAAAAATAAAGGGAACACTAAAATAACACATCCTAGATCTGAATGAATGAAATAATCGTATTCAATACTTTTTTCTTTACATAGTTGAATGTGCTGACAACAAAATCACACACAAAATTATTAATGGAAATCAAATTTATCAACCCATGGAGGTCTGGATTTGGAGTCACCCTCAAAATTAAAGTGGAAAACCACACTACAGGCTGATCCAACTTTGATGTAATGTCCTTAAAACAAGTCAAAATTAGGCTCAGTAGTGTGTGGCCTCCACGTGCCTGTATGACCTCCCTACAACGCCTGGGCATGCTCCTGATGAGGTGGCGGATGGTCTCCTGAGGGATCTCCTCCCAGACCTGGACTAAAGCATCCGCCAACTCCTGGACAGTCTGTGGTGCAACGTGGCGTTGGTGGATGGAGCGAGACATGATGTCCCAGATGTGCTCAATTGGATTCAGGTCTGGGGAATGGGCGGTCCATAGCATCAATGCCTTCCTCTTGCAGGAACTGCTGACACACTCCAGCCACATGAGGTCTAGCATTGTATTGCATTAGGAGGAACCCAGGGCCAACCGCACCAGCATATGGTCTCACAAGGGGTCTGAGGATCTCATCTCGGTACCTAATGGCAGTCAGGCTACCTCTGGCGAGCACATGGAGGGCTGTGCGGCCCCCCAAAGAAATGCCACCCCACACCATGACTGACCCACCGCCAAACCAGGTCGCAGTTGTAAATGAGAACTTGTTCTCAACTGGCTTACCTGGTTAAATAAAGGTGAAATAAAAAAATAAAACCGGTCATGCTGGAGGATGTTGCAGGCAGCAGAACGTTCTCCACGGCGTCTCCAGACTCTGTCACGTCTGTCACATGTGCTCAGTGTGAACCTGCTTTCATCTGTGAAGAGCACAGGGCGCCAGTGGCGAATTTGCCAATCTTGGTGTTCTCTGGCAAATGCCAAACGTCCTGCACGGTGTTGGGCTGTAAGCACAACCCCCACCTGTGGACGTCGGGCCCTCATACCACCCTCATGGAGTCTGTTTCTGACCGTTTGAGCAGACACATGCACATTTGTGGCCTGCTGGAGGTCATTTTGCAGGGCTCTGGCAGTGCTCCTCCTGCTCCTCCTTGCACAAAAGCAGAGGTAGCGGTCCTGCTGCTGGGTTGTTGCCCTCCTACGGCCTCCTCCACGTCTCCTGATGTACTGGCCTGTCTCCTGGTAGCGCCTCCATGCTCTGGACACTACGCTGACAGACACAGCAAACCTTCTTGCCACAGCTCGCATTGATGTGCCATCCTGGATGAGCTGCACTACCTGAGCCACTTGTGTGGGTTGTAGACTCCGTCTTATGCTACCACTAGAGTGAAAGCACCGCCAGCATTCAAAAGTGACCAAAACATCAGCCAGGAAGCATAGGAACTGAGAAGTGGTCTGTGGTCACCACCTGCAAAACCAGTCCTTTATTGGGGGTGTCTTGCTAATTGCCTATAATTTCCACCTGTTGTCTATTCCATTTGCACAACAGTATGTGAAATTTATTGTCAATCAGTGTTGCTTCCTAAGTGGACAGTTTGATTTCACAGAAGTGTGATTGACTTGGAGTTACATTGTGTTGTTTAAGTGTTCCCTTTATTTTTTTGAGCAGTGTAGTATAAATTATTTTGAAACATTTAGTAAGCGGTCTTTACACATCAGGAGGTAGCGGCAGCAGCGGTGGTAGTGATGACTCCCACTTTCTGTGTGGCATCCTTCTTTGCCTGGTGGGCCTGGAGCACGGCAACAGCCTCCTCCACCTTCACAAACACAAACAGTGAAATAGGAGACAGAGTCAGAGCCTTGGACAAAATTATATCAATTTTATTTTATATAGCCCTTCTTACATCAGCTAATATCTCGAAGTGCTGTACAGAAACCCAGCCTAAAACCCCAAACAGCTAGTAATGCAGGTGTAGAAGCACGGTGGCTAGGAAAAACTCCCTAGAAAGGCAAAACCTAGGAAGAAACCTAGAGAGGAACCAGGCTATGAGGGGTGGCCAGTCCTCTTCTGGCTGTGCCGGGTGGAGATTATAACAGAACCATGCCAAGATGTTCAAAAATGTTCATAAGTGACAAGCATGGTCAAATAATAATCAGGAATAAATCTCAGTTGGCTTTTCATAGCCGATCATTAAGAGTTGAAAACAGCAGGTCTGGGACAGGTAGGGGTTCCATAACCGCAGGCAGAACAGTTGAAACTGGAATAGCAGCAAGGCCAGGCGGACTGGGGACAGCAAGGAGTCACCACGGCCGGTAGTCCCGACGTATGGTCCTAGGGCTCAGGTCTCTCAGTTGGCTTTTCATAGCCGATCATTAAGAGTTGAAAACAGCAGGTCTGGGACATATGACTCTAGATCCCTTTTTATGATCTTATTCTGATATTATCCTGTTGCTGGTACCTTGGAGCGCAGGGATTCGTTGGACTCCAGCATGTGCAGCAGCTCAGAGTTGTCGATCTCAAGCAGCATCCCAGTGATCTTCCCTGCCAAGCTGGGGTGCATGGGCTGGATCAGGGGGAACAAGCGTTCCCCTGAGTGAGTGAGTGAGTGAGTGATAGAGAGAAAGAGAGAGAGAGAGAGCGATGGAAGGTTAAGAATGCTTCTCACAGGTAAAATGATACTGTATAACCCTAACCTTATTGCATTGATGTTCAGAACCCCTCCAAAAGGTCTAGACTCTAGAATTTGTCATTGAACTTCCAAGAACCAATATGACACACCACCAATCTGTTCCAGCACTCACCCAGCATCTGCTTCTGCTCCTGAGGGGGTGCAGCGGCCAGCATGGAGGCTGTGAGAGGCTCCTGACCTTGCACATGTACAGCTGGTTGAGCCTGAGAGGAGAAAGACAGGCAACGAAGAGTTTAAAACAGGGCAGTGATGAATATATATACAGTACCAGTCAAAAGTTTGGACACACCTACTAATTCCAGGGTTTTTCTTTATTTTTTACTATTTTCTACATTGTAGAATAATAGTGAAGACATCAAAACTATAAAATAACACATATGGAATCATGTAGTAACCAAAAAAAGTGTTCAACAAATCAACATATATTTTATATTTGAGATTGGCATTCTCTCAACCAGCTTCATGAAGTAGTCACCTAGAATGCATTTCAATTAACAGTTGTGCCTTGTTAATTTGGGGAATTTCTTTCCTTCTTAATGCATTGAGCCAATCAGTTGTGTTGCGACAAGGTAGGGGGGTATACAGTCGCAAAAACCATCAAGTGCTATGATGAAATTGGCTCTCATGAGGACCACCACAGGAATGGAAGATCCAGAGTTACCTCTGCTGCAGAGAATAAGTTCATTAGAGTTACCAGCCTCAGAAATTGCAGCCCAAATAAATGCTTCACAGAGTTCAAGTAACAGACACATCAACATCAACTGTCCAGAGGGGACTGTGTGAATCAGGCCTTCATGGTTGAATTGCTGCAAAGAAACCACTACTAAAGGACACCAATAAGAAGAAGAGACCTGCTTGGGCCAAGAAACCCAAGCAATGGACATTAGACCGGTGGAAATTTGTCCTTTGGTCTGGAGTCCAAATTGGAGATTTTTGGTTCCAACCGCCGTGTCTTGTGAGACGCGGTGTGGGTGAACGGATGATCTCTGTATGTGTATTTTCCACCATAAAGCATGGAGGAGGAGGTGTTATGGTGTGGGGGTGCTTTGCTGGTGACACTGTCTGTGATTTATTTAGAATTCAAGGCACACTTAACCAGCATGGCTACCACAGCAACGATACGCCATCACATCTGGTTTGGGCTTAGTGGGACTATCATTTGTTTTTCAACAGGACAATGACCCAACACACCTCCAGGCTGTGTAAGGGCTATTTTACAAGAAGGAGAGTGATGAGTGCTGCATCAGATGACCTGGCCTCCACAATCCCCTGACCTCAACCCAATTGAGATGGTTTGGGATGAGTCGGACAGCAGAGTGAAGGAAAAGCAGCCAACAAGTGCTCAGCATATGTGGGAACTCCTTCAAGACTGTTGGAAAGCATTCCAGGTGAATGTGGTTGAGAGAATGCCAAGAGTGTGCAAAGCTGTCATCAAGGCAAAGGGTTGCTATTTGAAGAATCTCAAATATAAAATATATTTTTACAGGGTCAGCCATAGTAGTACGCCACCTCTGGAGCAAATTAGGGTTAATTGCCTTGCTCAAGGACACAGACTTTTCACCTTGTCAGCTCGGGTATTCGAACAAGCAACCTTTCGGTTACTGGCCCTACGCTCTAAACGCTAAGCCACCTGCTGCCAGGTTAGTGAGTTTTACCTGCTGTAAGGTGATGGGGTGCACCACCTGGGGGTTAGTGTTGCGTACGCTGGTGGCGTACTTGTAGGGTGTCATGGCCCGAGGGGCAGGGACTCCCATGGAGGGACGAGGACCCATGGACTGGCCAGCACTTCCTAATGGTAGAGATTAAACATAAAGGATGTATGCGCCAAGTATATGAAGTTTGATGAGGTATTATTTCCACCATATCAATTGTAATCAGTTAATATCAGATATACTGAGGCAATCCAGTCTTACCAATTCTCTGAGCTCCAGAAGGCCCCATGCCTCGGGGGCCCTGGGCGCTGGCATTGGGAGTCAGGTGTCTCAGGTTGGCACGTGGACCAGGCTGGCGCAGGGAGTTGGGCATCCCCTGGAACCCACCTAGGAAGGAGGGTGGAGGCAGGGTTATTATTGAACAGCAGTTAAAGTCCCCATAATACAGTATGGACATGTAGTACTTGAATAAACATAGCCTGGATATATAACCCATGATAGATTCAGTCATTGTGTATAATGTCATCTCTAACCCTCACCTTGGCCTCTGCCACCCTGCTGCTGCCAGCGGGGGTTGGGCCTCATCTGGGCCAGCTGATTGGGTGCATAGTAGGTGGTCCTGTTCTGGGCCTGACGCACGCGCACACACAATGACAGACAAGTAACCATGTGTGCAATAATGTTGCACAACATTAAAGTTCTCAATCTTACTCTATGTAAACAACAACTGACTCACTTGTTACAGTGCCAATCATCTTACTGGCATTTGCACAGCAGTCTATCCTATCAACTGTCAGAACCCTGACATGGCTGTTGTGAAGGGCATTTCCAGTAAAGCACACATAACTTTATCTCAAACCCATTTTAACCCTCTCTCCCTCCAACACTAACCTGTGGCACTGCAGGCATGAAGTATCCACTGGCCGGCTGGAACTGGTTGATGATGGCGTTGGTCGGCATGGCCCTCATGCCAGCGATGCGCTGCATATACTGGTTAGTGAGGTGGGCCTTGCGCTCTTCTTTGCGCTGAGCCAAGGCCACGTAGAGTGGCTTGGAGCCCACGATGCGCCCGTTCATCTCAGTCACAGCCTTGGTGGCCTCCTCAGGAGAGGAGAAGCAGACAAACCCAAAGCCCTTGGACCGTCCCTCCTCCAGCATCACCTGCAGCGAGAGAAGTCAGCTGTGTTATATCTGGATAACACACTTCAAATACACAACTAAAAAGGGGTCATTGTTGTTGGACCATATTGACCTCTGCTGAACTCTCTCACCTTGGCACTGGTGATGGACCCGAATGGGTTAAACTCCTTTCGCAGTTTCTCGTCGTCAATGGTGTCGTCCAAGTTCTTAATGTAAAGGTTAACGCCCTGAAACCATAAATACACAGTCATGACCCACACACATACTCAGCCTGGCTTGTTGCCTAATGGGTGGGTACTATGAAACAAGATGTCAGGTTGAATGATGGCATTTGGTTCTTATCAGTGTTCTATTAGCCATAGTGGTGCCAGAGGAGGAGAGTGATTGACCTGGTAACGGCTGATCCTCTCCTGTTTCAACATCTCAAACTTTCTCTTTAGCTCCGCCTGCCGTTCCATCTTCTTCTGAGCGCGCCCCACAAACACCGTCTTCCCGTTGAACTCTTGGCCATTCATCTCCTCACATGCCTGAGTAGAGATTCATTCGTTACAACCAGAGTGTGATTGTCTCAGTCTTTTTCCACCAACCATGAAAGCCCACTGACTTGTATTGACAACTGTTGTTATGAAGGTATAATAGTACCTACCTTGTTAGCGTCCTCGTGTTTCTCGTAACTCACAAAGCCAAAACCTCTGGATTTACCACTGGGGTCGGTCATAACCCTCACACTGAGAGTTTGACCTGCAGGGAGGAAAAGGTAACAATTGGGACTCAGCTATATGAGTTTTCAGAAATGCAAGTGCATGTCTAGGTTCCTTGGGTGGATTACAAGACTAACATGTGAAAAACTAAACTGCTCCACTAATGAGAAAACTCAGTATGAGTCTGTTTGTCACAGCTTACCATATTGGTCAAACATTTCCTTTAGCTTGTCATCATTCATGTCGTCTCCAAAGTTCTTGATGTAGACGTTGGTGAACTCCTTTGCTTTGGCCCCAAGTTCTGCCTCCCTCTCCTTCCGAGACTTGAAACGTCCAACGAACCTAAACACCGCGAGAGAGCAGCGACACAACTCTTGTAAAACAGTCCTGAGCAGGAGGGAGAAAGGGACTGCGTTTTTCATCTGAGATACATGTTTTCAGGCTTCAAGCTGGTGTTCACAGCACTGACATTGAGGATGTCCAGACATGACTACTAAATAGAAGGAAGCACTTTGTATAAGACAACATCACAGTGAGTCAGTCAAGGACCTCTCAAGAACAACATTGATCAAACTTCTTCTTGCACTGTTTATGGCACCACAATCAAGCAGAACACAGCACAGAAACAATGACATTTCATAGTCCAAGACTTGAGGGATGGAGGGACAGAGGTCCATAAAGAGGAAAGCTGAGGACCAAACGAGGTTGATAGATCATCTTCCTCTACTCAGACTGTACCTTGCTATGCAGACCTCTCCCAAGCCGTGCTCCAGTATTGCATTCCTGCACTCGCTCCATCACTAAAACACACAAGCGTGGTTACACACGACAGACAGGCAACCGGGGTGGACAAACGTACATACAGACAGACGGATGCTCAGCTGACACGGGGAGTGAGGTGACCAGAGAGTGGACATTTTTTGTTGTGTAGGTTTAAAAAGGTTAATTTCCCAGTAAGCACTGCAAAAAAACATTCACTGTTAGTTGTGTAGTTCACCAAACCACACAGAAAGCCAGGGTGTATGGGGACTGAGTATGGGGTGTTATATGGCTCCTTATATCTATCTACAGGCCTTTTTGGTTCCAGGTAGAACCCTTTTGGGTTCCATTTATAACCCTTTCCACAGAGGGTTCTACCTGGAACCCGAAAGGGTTCTACCTGGAACCAAAAAGGGTTCTACCTGGAACCAAAAAGGGTTCTACCTGGAACCAAAAAGGGTTCTACCTGGAACCAAAAAGGGTTCTACCTGGAACCAAAAAGGGTTCTCCTTTGGGGACGGCCAAAGAACCCTTTTGGAGTGTACTCATTCACCTTCATTATCACCAGAAATGTTTAACTTCCCCCTTAATTAGTTTAATAGTCTTCTGCCTTGTCACAGTATAGGCAAACAGATGAGCTACTACTTGAGACTCCAACCATGTACAATCCTTATCAACATCCTAGCTGCCCTTGATTGATCTTAACCAGGGGTCTCCAACCCTGTTCCTGGAGAGCTACAGTCCTGTAGGTTCTCACTCCAACCCTAATCTAGCGCACCTGATTCTAATAATTAGATGGTTGATAAGCTGAATCAGGTTAGTTACAACTGGGTTTGGAGTGAAAACCTACAGGAGGGTAGATATCCAGGAACAGGGTTGGAGAACCCTGATCTAAACTGTCAACTTTCTACACCAGGGATTGGTAACTCCAGTCCTCAGGGGCCGGAGTGGTGTCACAATTTTCCCCATCCCTAGCAAAACACAGCTGATTAAACTAATTGCATTCTAAACTGAAGATCATGATTAGTTGATTATTGGAGTCAGGTGTGTTAGCTGGGGCAAAAGTGTGTCACCAATCAGGCCCAGAGGACTAGAGTTGCCCATCCCTGTTCGACACAGTGATATAACTCAAGTCCAGCCACTTCCCCACCCTCTCCTAGTTGGTCAGACACTCACACCTTGCGGTCGTTCAGAAGCATGCCGTTCATCTTCTCGATGGCGCGGTCGGCTGCGTCCTGCGTCTCAAAGTGCACAAACGCGTATCCCTTGGAACCATTCTCATCACATACAACCTGTTTGAGACAAGTTTATGCGGTTTAAAAAAATTACACAGTATGTATACACATAATGTCATACAGATGTCTGGTCAGAAACACTTCCATCTTACTTTGCAAGACAGGATGTTCCCAAAGGCAGAGAAGGTGTCATAGAGGGCCTTGTTGTCAATGGTCTTGTCCAGGTTCTTGATGAACACGTTGCCCACCCCAGACTTCCTGAGGGAGGGGTCTCTCTGTGACCACATTATTCTGATTGGCTTCCCTTTCACCACATCAAAGTTCATGGTGTCCAGGGCTCTCTCGGCTAGAGGGCAGGGGGAGAGGTCAGAGGGTAGAGTCAGGGTGTTTACTTACAAAACTAAAAACATCTCAGCCACTGGGTCCACCACACCATGTTGTTTATGCTATTTAGTGCCAACTTCCAATCATGCACACCCCACCATGCTGCATGCTACACCCCACCATGCTGCATGCTACACCCCAACATGCTGCATGCTACACCCCACCATGCTGCATGCTACACCCCACCATGCTGCATGCTACACCCCACCATGCTGCATGCTACACCCCAACATGCTGCATGCTACACCCCACCATGCTGCATGCTACACCCCACCATGCAACACCATATGTACGCCTCCCAATCATTCACTCCACCACATTGTGTCTTGATGGATAGGACTAGAAGTTATTCCTGGTCAAGTCATGTGGTCAGAAAAAAACTACTGGCCCTAGTTCAAGGCACATTTTTTATTAAGGAACCACGCTAATATTGGAGTGTCCTAACTACTAACTACACCATGTGGCTATGGAGTCTTACCCCCGCCTGCCACCACACTGACCAGCTGTTAGGGGAGGGGAGGGGCAGCTCCAGTTGGCTAGGCAGGAGCACATGGCGCTCACACAGACACATTGGACCAGAAGTCCCTTGCAAGCCACAAATCATAATACAGTGGGGGACAAAAGTATTTAGTCAGCCACCAATTGTGCAAGTTCTCCCACTTAAAAATATGAGAGAGGCCTGTAATTTTCATCATAGGTACACGTCAACTATGACAGACAAAATGAGGAAAAAAATTCCAGAAAATCACATTGTAGGATTTTTAATGAATTTATTTGCAAATTATGGTGGAAAATAAGTATTTGGTCACCTACAAACAAGCAAGATTTCTGGCTCTCACAGACCTGTAACTTCTTCTTTAAGAGGCTCCTCTGTCCTCCACTCGTTACCTGTATTAATGGCACCTGTTTGAACTTGTTATCAGTATAAAAAGACACCTGTCCACAACCTCAAACAGTCACACTCCAAACTCCACTATGGCCAAGACCAAAGAGCTGTCAAAGGACACCAGAAACAAAATTGTAGACCTGCACCAGGCTGGGAAGACTGAATCTGCAATAGGTAAGCAGCTTGGTTTGAAGAAATCAACTGTGGGAGCAATTATTAGGAAATGGAAGACATACCAGACCACTGATAATCTCCCTCGATCTGGGGCTCCACGCAAGATCTCACCCCGCGGGGTCAAAATGATCACAAGAACGGTGAGCAAAAATCCCAGAACCACACGGGGGGACCTAGTGAATGACCTGCAGAGAGCTGGGACCAAAGTAACAAAGCCTACCATCAGTAACACACTACGCCGCCAGGGACTCAAATCCTGCAGTGCCAGACGTGTCCCCCTGCTTAAGCCAGTACATGTCCAGGCCCGTCTGAATGATATGATGATATGATATGATATGCCATTTAGCAGACGCTTTTATCCAAAGCGACTTACAGTCATGTGTGCATAAATTTTTACATATGGGTGGTCCCGGGGATCGAACCCACTACCCTGGCGTTACAAGCGCCATGCTCTACCAATTGAGCTACAGAGGAGTGAAGTTCATTTGGATGATCCAGAAGAGGATTGGGATAATGTCATATGGTCAGATGAAACCAAAATATAACTTTTTGGTAAAAACTCAACTTGTCATGTTTGGAGGACAAAGAATGCTGAGTTGCATCCAAAGAACACCATACCTACTGTGAAGCATGGGGGTGGAAACATCATGCTTTGGGGCTGTTTTTCTGCAAAGGGACCAGGACGACTGATCCGTGTAAAGGAAAGAATGAATGGGGCCATGTATCGTGAGATTTTGAGTGAAAACCTCCTTCCATCAGCAAGGGCATTGAAGATGAAACGTGGCTGGGTCTTTCAGCATGACAATGATCCCAAACATACCGCCCGGGCAACGAAGGAGTGGCTTCGTAAGAAGCATTTCAAGGTCCTGGAGTGGCCTAGCCAGTCTCCAGATCTCAACCCCATAGAAAATCTTTGGAGGGAGTTGAAAGTCTGTTGCCCAGCGACAGCCCCAAAACATCACTGCTCTAGAGGAGATCTGCATGGAGGAAGGGGCCAAAATACCAGCAACAGTGTGTGAAAACCTTGTGAAGACTTACAGAAAACGTTTGACCTGTGTCATTGCCAACAAAGGGTATATAACAAAGTATTGAGAAACTTTTGTTATTGACCAAATACTTATTTTCCACCATAATTTGCAAATAAATTCATAAAAAATCCTACAATGTGATTTTCTGGATTTTTTTTTCTCATTTTGTCTGTCATAGTTGACGTGTACCTATGATGAAAATTACAGGCCTCTCATCTTTTTAAGTGGGAGAACTTGCACAATTGGTGGCTGACTAAATACTTTTTTTCCCCACTGTAGATTATTCACTCTCTCATAATGAATATAAACAATGGGATACATACAGTACATGTACATATATAATTCAATAGGGCAAATGGCTCTTGAAAACTTGACATACTCTTATAGGTTCTCTATTAGAGGTTCTCTAATAAATACCAGCCACTGTATTATTTTTATTTGTCCAAACTACATATGCCGCCAGTGTGCTGTAACTTCGATTTACGTTTCTAGATCTGCCTATCGTGATTTATGTTGTACCCGTTCTCATTTTCCTGCCGCCTGGCTCTCACATGTCCCCTCTCATGTCCATCTGGGCACACGCGCCAACCAGAGAGCTTCACTTTGTTCCCCGTCACTCCACAGCAACACACACCCTTGCGGGCTTTAGAGCTAAAAATGTCCAGTAAACAAAACAGAGCTCCCTTGCGTCTGCTGGCATCAGCAGTTTTCTGTGCAATTGTACTTCACACAAACCAGCTCAGAGATGGTGTGTGATGGTTGCTCGGTGTCTGTCTAGTTCTGGAAGGTTCCCAGGGCCAAACTTGATGAAAAAACATGAGCCCAATGGGCACCATGTGGAGCTGGGATTACTCAATGGATGAATAGCAGAGATAGATAAACACATTATGAAATCAAATAAGAGGTGAAGTGAATGTAACACACAAAAAAAACCTTGAAGTGAACTTCACAGGTCAGTGTGATGATATACTATAAAATGTATTTAGTCATAAAACTGAAAACTGGATAGTTTATTCTAGGTGATGCTGGTAGCCACCCTAATAGATTCTGTCAAACATTATCCTTAAATGGAGACTTTATATGGTTTTAGATATTATAAGCAGGCAACATTTGGGCTGCCTGAGATGGGGACTATATTTAGAGAGGGGTCCTGAGAGGTATGTGCTGGTGTGGAGTGTGAGTTGAGCATTCTCTGCCTGCCATTGATGGGAGACACATTCAACAAGAATGTTCAGATGAGCAACACCAGGTCTTGAAACTGTTAAATGCCGCTGTGACATGCTGAAAGTAGAGATGGTCAGCCAAAGCTACTTTAGGCACATGAAGACTACACTCCTCAAATACACTGAACAAAAATATAAATGCAACAATTTCAAAGATTTTACTGAGTTACAGTTCATAAGGAAATATCTGAACTGAACTAATTGAAATAAATTCACTAGGCCCTAATCTATGGATTTCACATAACTGGGAATACAGATATGCATCTGTTGGTCACAGGTACCGTAAAAAAAAAAAGGTAGGGGCGTGGATCAGAAAACCAGTCAGTATCTGGTGTGACCACCATTTGCCTCATGCAGCGTGACACATCTCCTTCGCATAGAGTTGATCAGGCTTGTGGATTGTGGCCTGTGGAATGTTGTCCCACTCCTCTTCAATGGATGTACAAAGTTCCTGGATATTGCCGGGAACTGGAACATGCTGTCATACATATAAATCCAGAGCATCCCAAACATGCTCAATAGGTGACATGTCTGGTGAGTATGCAGGCCAGAACTGGAAGAACTAGGACATTTTCAGCTTCCAGCAATTGTGTACAGATCCTTACGACATGGGGCTGTGCGTTATCATGCTGAAACATGAGGCGATGGCAGTGAATGAATGGCACGACAATGGGCCTCAGGATCTCGTCACGGTATCTCTGTGCATTCAAATTGCCATTGATAAAATGCAATTGTGTTCGTTGTCCGTAGCTTATGCCTGCCCATACCATAACCCCACCGCCACCATAGGGCACTCTGTTCACAACATTGACATCAGCAAACCGCTCACCCACACGACTCCATACACGCCGTCTGCCCGGTACAGTTGAAACCGGGATTAATCCATGAAGAGCACACGTCTCCAGCGTGCCAGTGGCAACCGAAGGTGAGCATTTGCCCACTGAAGTAGGTTACGGCGCCGAACTGCAGTCAGGTCAAGACCCTGGCGAGGACGACGAACACGCAGATGAGCTTCCCTGAGACGGTTTCTGACAGTCTCTGCAGAAATTCTTCGGTTGTGCAAACCCACAGTTTCATCAGCTGTCCGGGTGGATGGTCTCAGACGATCCCGCAGGTGAAGAAGCCAGTTGTGGAGGTCCTGGGCTGGTGTGTTGAGGCCGGCTGGACGTACTGCCAAATTATCTAAAATGACATTGAGGCAGCTTATAGTAGAGAAATGATCATTCAATTATCTGGCAACAGCTCTGGTGGACATTCCTGCAGTGAGCATGCCAATTGCAGGCTCCCTTTAAAACTTGAGTGGTCTGTGGCATTGTGTTGTGTGACAAATCTGCAAATTTTAGTGGCCTTTTATTGTCCCCAGCACAAGGAGCACCTGTGTAATGATCATGCTGTTTAATTCGCTTCTTGATATGCCACACCTGTCAGGTGGATGGATTATCTTAGCAAAGGAGAAATGCTCACTAACAGGGATATAAAGAAACTTGTGCACAGAATTTGACAGAAATAAGCTTTTTGTGCGTATGGAAAATTTCTAGGATATTTTATTTCAGCTCATGAAACCAACACTTTACATATCGCGTTTATATTTTTGTTCAGTGTATGTGGTAGTAGTCGTAGACCTAAATCTGTGGTAGTTGTACTACACTTTTACTTCCTGAGATGATGCTAGGTTGAAGATGACAAAAGTTAAAAGCCAATTTATGCTTGATCCGTAAATGTGGTCGGAGGCTGTGTATGGACGGTGTGACGCCATAACGGAGCCCCCGGAGGCATGCAGGCATCACCGTGCCCCTCTAAATTTTTCTAACAATGCGGAGGGCTCCGTATAGCTCCGTATTGACATGATTGGTTGATGGTAGGTGGGGACGGTAGGTCCTGTATAAACACAAACTCACTTCCTTGACAACTTCCTTCACAATAGCTCTGCTTCACTAAGCTCAAGAAGTATGAAAGCCCTGATGTCTGCGAAGGCTGCATCGCAGTAAATGCTGTATGGCCACTTCAGACGTCAAATTGACCATGCAGAGCCTTTAAGACATTTCCCATAACTCTTTGCAACAATGGGACACTAGTCCCAGGTTTGTGACGACGTTGTCTTAACCTATATATTCTCGACCTAGACATGATGTTATGTTGTGTTTTGTGATCAACCTCCAGGTAATATTGCCATGGGGTTCTCTCAACTCTGGCACAGACTGAGTCAGATACAGTTGAAGTCGGAAGTTTACACACACTTTGGTTGGAGTCATTAAAACTCGTTTTTCAACCACTCCACAAATTTCTTGTTAACAAACTAGTAATTTTTCCAACAATTGTTTACAGACAGATTATTTCACTTATAATTGTATCACAATTCCAGTGGGTCAGCTTGGAAAATTCCAGAAAATGTCATGGCTTTAGAAGCTTCTGACATCATTTGAGTCAATTGGAGGTGTACCTGTGGATGTATTTCAAGGCCTACCTCTTTGCTTGACATCAGGAGAAAATCAAAAGAAATCAGCCAAGACCTCAGAAAGAAAATGGTAGACCTCCACAAGTCTGGTTCATTCTTGGGAGCAATTTCCAAATGCCTGAAGGTACCACGTTCATCTGTACAAACAATAGTACACAAGTATAAACACCATGGGACAACGCAGCCGTCATACCACTCAGGAAGGAGACGCGTTCTGTCTGCTAGAGATGAACGTACTTTGGTGCGAAAAGTGCAAATCAATCCCAGAACAACAGCAAAGGACCTTGTGAAGATGCTGGAGGAAACAGGTACAAAAGTATCTACATCCACAGTAAAACAAGTCCTATATCGACATAACCTGAAAGGCCGCTCAGCAAGGAAGAAGCCGCTGCTCCAAAACCGCCTTATAGCCAGACTACGGTATGCAACTGCACATGGGGACAAAGATCGTACTTTTTGGAGAAATGTCCTCTGGTCTGATGAAACAAAAATAGAACTGTTTGGCCATAATGACCATCTTTATGTTTGGAGGAAAAAGGGGGTGCTTGCAAGCCGAAGAACACCATCCCAACCACAAAGCACAGGGGTGGCAGCATCATGCTGTGGGGGTGCTTTGCTGCAGGAGGGACTGGGGCACTTCACAAAATAGATGGCATCATGAGGAAGGAAAATGATGTGGATATATTGAAGCAACATCTCAAGACATCAGTCAGGAAGTTAAAGCTTGGTCGCAAATGGGTCTTCCAAATGGACAATGACCCCAAGTAAAGTTGTGACAAAATGGCTTAAGGACAACAAAGTCAAGGTATTGGAATGGCCATCACAAAGCCCTGTCCTCAAGCCTATAGAAAATGTGTGGGCAGAACTGAAAAAGCATGTGCAAGCAAGGAGGCCTACAAACCTGACTCAGTTACACCAGCTCTGTCAGGAGGAATGGGCCAAAATTCACCCAACTTATTGTGGGAAGCTTGTGGAAGGCTACCCGAAACGTTTGACCCAAGTTAAACAATTTAAAGGCAATGCTACCAAATACTAATTGAGTATATGTAAACTGTTGACCCACTGGGAATGTGATTAAATAAATAAATCACTCTCTCTATTATTATTCTGACATTTCACATTCTTAAAATAAAGTGGTGATCCTAACTGACCTAAAGACAGGGAATTTTTACTAGGATTAAAGGTCAGAAATTGTGAAAAACTGAGTTTAAATGTATTTTGCTAAGGTGGATGTAAACTTCCGACTTCAACTGTAAGTGATGCAGGTGCAAAATGAAAACGCAACAGCCAAAAAGGCCCACACTGTATAAACAGTTGGCAGACACAGACACCTTCGTAGAACACACAATATGCTACAGCTCAACCCTGCCAGGTCACACTCCCCAACAAATACAATATTCTACTGTAGATAATAACTATACATTGGATAATGAGAAGAGTGATTGTTGAATCAAGTGGTATTTCAAAGCATGAAATTATATGTTATATTTCAGACTTTTGGGGATTGGGGCTTGGACTGACAACCCAATACAAATGTTGGAAATTCCTCAAGTGTTTCCCCTTGTATGGAGTAAGTTGGGACAATGTAAGCCCCTAGAACCTGAGAAAAACATTACAGATCCACATGTAGAGAAGAACATGGAGATGTTGGGAATTACACCACCCTTCAACAATTACTCAAGAAATCCAACCATAAGAAGGTGTTACATCCAGGTGAAAGGTTTCAGCAGAAATGTATTTGCAGAAGCAATCTATTCAGATGTATTCTTTTCAGATCAGATGACACACAAATGCATGACATCACATGATCCACAAAAAGCACAGAAATGCATGAGTTATTGTTCAGATGAGCCTTTTCTTCCTCTCGGTGTGTAAGGCAGCAGGGGTGGTAATGGGAATACATTTCACTGCAGAACGGTTCCCTGATGGCCCTTTAAATAGGAGCAGAAATGGGTCACTTTGGGTTTCAGCGTTTCCCAAACTCGGTCCTCGGGACCCAAAGGCGTGCACATTTTGTTTTTTGCTGATGCAAATGTTCAAAACTTTGAATCAGATGTGTAGTGCTAGGGCAAAAACCAAAATCTGCAACCCTTGGGGTCCCGAGGACTGAGTTTGGGAAACCCTGGCGTTAGGCAGTGTGGAGCAGAACTCTGGAGCATAACTGCAGCTCCACCTATTCAAAAGTAGAATCAGAACACAGACAGTAGCCTGGCTACAACATATACAAAGCAGGAGTCTTGTACATGGCAAAGCAGGAGTCTTGGAGCAGATTCTGATCAATCCTCCAACGCTGTCAGATGGAAGAAGTGGGCCACCATCGCTATATGGGTCAAGAGATACAATTCCAAATGTGTACTTCTCCACTCAACGGAGTTAGTCCATGCAAGGCAAAAAGTAGTTGAGAGTCCGTACAGTATGCTTTAGTAGACTGATTGTGCCATGCATGGTTCAGAGCAAGTTTACTTGAGAGTCCAAAGTGAGGGAAAACATTTATCCTCTCCCATTATACACTGCTCAAAAAAATAAAGGGAACACTTAAACAACACAATGTCACTCCAAGTCAATCCCACTTCTGTGAAATCAAACTGTCCACTTAGGAAGCAACACTGATTGACAATAAATTTCACATGCTGTTGTGCAAATGGAATAGACAACAGGTGGAAATTATAGGCAATTAGCAAGACACCCCCAATAAAGGACTGGTTTTGCAGGTGGTGACCACAGACCACTTCTCAGTTCCTATGCTTCCTGGTTGATGTTTTGGTCACTTTTGAATGCTGGCGGTGCTTTCACTCTAGTGGTAGCATGAGACGGAGTCTACAACCCACACAAGTGGCTCAGGTAGTGCAGCTCATCCAGGATGGCACATCAATGCGAGCTGTGGCAAGAAGGTTTGCTGTGTCTGTCAGCGTAGTGTCCAGAGCATGGAGGCGCTACCAGGAGACAGGCCAGTACATCAGGAGACGTGGAGGAGGCCGTAGGAGGGCAACAACCCAGCAGCAGGACCGCTACCTCTGCTTTTGTGCAAGGAGGAGCAGGAGGAGCACTGCCAGAGCCCTGCAAAATGACCTCCAGCAGGCCACAAATGTGCATGTGTCTGCTCAAACGGTCAGAAACAGACTCCATGAGGGTGGTATGAGGGCCCGACGTCCACAGGTGGGGGTTGTGCTTACAGCCCAACACCGTGCAGGACATTTTGGCATTTGCCAGAGAACACCAAGATTGGCAAATTCGCCACTGGCGCCCTGTGCTCTTCACAGATGAAAGCAGGTTCACACTGAGCACATGTGACAGACGTGACAGAGTCTGGAGACGCCGTGGAGAACGTTCTGCTGCCTGCAATATCCTCCAGCATGACCGGTTTGGCGGTGGGTCAGTCATGGTGTGGGGTGGCATTTCTTTGAGGGGCCGCACAGCCCTCCATGTGCTCGCCAGAGGTAGCCTGACTGCCATTAGGTACCGAGATGAGATCCTCAGACCCCTTGTGAGACCATATGCTGGTGCAGTTGGCCCTGGGTTCCTCCTAATGCAAGACAATGCTAGACCTCATGTGGCTGGAGTGTGTCAGCAGTTCCTGCAAGAGGAAGGCATTGATGCTATGGCCTGGCCCGCCCGTTCCCCAGACCTGAATCCAATTGAGCACATCTGGGACATCATGTCTCGCTCCATCCACCAACGCCACGTTGCACCACAAACTGTCCAGGAGTTGGCGGATGCTTTAGTCCAGGTCTGGGAGGAGATCCCTCAGGAGACCATCCGCCACCTCATCAGGAGCATGCCCAGGCATTGTAGGGAGGTCATACAGGCACGTGGAGGCCACACACACTACTGAGCCTAATTTTGACATTACATCAAAGTTGGATCAGCCTGTAGTGTGGTTTTCCACTTTAATTTTGAGGGTGACTCCAAATCCAGACCTCCATGGGTTGATACATTTGATTTCCATTGATAATTTTTGTGTGATTTTGTTGTCAGCACATTCAACTATGTAAAGAAAAAAGTATTTAATAAGATTATTTCATTCATTCAGATCTAGGATGTGTTATTTTAGTGTTCCCTTTATTTTTTTGAGCAGTGTAGTTTTAGATCAATTATGTTACTTGCGGAGTTGGGGCTTAGCCTACACCTCTTCTTAATTTGCATTGGTATGTTTGCACTATGTAGTGGAGTCTGTCGAGGTAACCACAGAGCTCTATACAGGTAACATAAGTGTGAATGATGTAGATACACTACATGATCAAAAGTATGTGGACACCTGCTTGTTGAAAATCTAATTCCAAAATCATGGGCATTAATATGGAGTTGGTCCCCCCCCTTTGCTACTATAACAGCCTCTACTCTTCTGGGAAGGCTTTCCACTAGATGTTGGGACATTGCGGCGGGGACTTGCTTCCATTCAGCCACAAGAGCATTAGTGAGGTCGGGCACTGATGTTGGGCGATTAGGCCTGGCTCGCAGTCGGCGTTCCAATTCATCCCAAAGGTTTTCGGTGGGGTTGAGGTCAGGGCTCCGTGCAGGCCAGTCAAGTTCTTCCACATCAATCTCGACAAACCATTTCTGTATGGACTCCGCTTTGTGCACAGGGGCATTGTCATGCTGAAACAGGAAGGGTCTTCCCCAAACTGTTGTCACAAAGTTGGAAGCACAGAATGGTCTAGAATGTCATTGTATGCTGTAGCTTTAAGCTTTCCCTTCACTGGAACTAAGGGGCCTAGCCCGTACCATGAAATACAGCCCCAGACCATTATTCCTCCTCCACCAAACTTTACAGTTGGCACTATGCGTTCTCCTGGCATCCGCCAAATCCAGATTTGTCCGTCGGACTGCCAGATGGTGAAGCATGATTCATCACTCCAGGGAACGCGTTTCCACTGCTCCAGAGTCCAATGGCGGCGAGCTTTACACCACTCCAGCCAACGCTTGGCATTGCGCATGGGGTTCTTAGGCTTGTGTGCGGCTGCTCGCCATTTCATGAAGCTCCCGACGAACAGTTCTTGTGCTGATGTTACTTCCAGAGGCAGTTTGGAACTCTGTAGTGAATGTTGCAACTGAGGACAGACGATTTTTACGCACTTCAGCGGTCCCCTTCTGTGAGCTTAAGTAGCCTTCCACTTCGCGTTTGAGCCATTGTTGCTCCTAGAAGTTTCCACTTCACAATAACAGCACTTACAGTTGACCGGGGTAGCTCTAGAAGGGCAGAATTTTGACAAACTAACTTGTTGGAAAGGTGGCATCCTATGACGGTGCCATGTTGAAAGTCACTGAGTTCTTCCATAAGGCCAGTCTACTGTCAATGTTTGTCTATGGAGATTGCATGTCAGTGTGCTCGATTTTATACACCTTTCACCAACGGATGTGGCTGAAATAGCCGAATCCACTAATTTGATTGGGTGTCCACATACTTTTGTATATATAGTGGACTTTCTAACAGGAAATCATATCACAATTGATGCTCATTAAAATCAAGATGTGCTTTACATTGGATACTCTTTTAGACAAATGCACTGAATAACACGGTTGACAACATGCTCAAATCAAAAGATCCAATTAACGCTTTACTGTAACGTAAACAGACACCGATTTTGAGGCATGCTTTATTTCTTACCGTCCGTGGGTTGCGAGAAATTCACATAGGCATAACCCAGAGAGCGTCGGGTGATCATATCACGACATACTCGAATAGACAGTACTGGTCCAGCTGGGCTGAATTTCTCATACAGCATAGCTTCAGTGATATCAGGGTGCAGGTCGCCAACATATAGAGAAGCCATTGGATAACTCTCCGCATTCGCTGTGTTCATTTCTTGGAGTGCACAAAATGTATGAATTCTTCCCTCACGCTAGCCACGAGAATTGTTGTTAAGAATTGTTCTCCGGGGCCGAATCTGTGAGTAATTTGTGCCTAAGAAAACGCTCTTGCCACCAAAATGTGACTTGATCTAGAGAAGTTTTCCACGACTCGCTGACGAGAAAAGAAAAGTGACAGCTAAAACGGAATTTCGGCGTATTCTCCTAAAAAAATCGATTTGTCCTACACTTCGGGTTAAGCCCGAGGCCTATTATTAACCCCCAAAAATAAGAATATTTTGCGATTTTTTAAAGATTTTTTATTTTCGAATATTACGATGGCTACTTATTTTTAAGATTTTATGTATTTTATATTTTTTATATATTTTTTGTTTTTTAAAGTTGTTAAAGAACGGTGAGTTACACTCACAGTTGTTTTGTGGCCGGGGAAAGAGACTGCGTGGGAAAAGCATGGCCACTTTATAGACAGTGCAGTGCGCAGAAGAAACAGACAGGGTCAAACTTGTGATAGAAAAAAAAGCTGAGCATGCGGTGTAAAAGAGAGCGCGGCGGGTGTTCTGTCACAACTACCCAACACAGATCCCTACAGCGACATCTGGGTTTGACCACAGATTGTTTCCATTGACCGGTTTATTCAACAACAACAAAAATCCTTGTGACATGTGTAGGGTAATATTGGGTAAGACGCCCCCCATACGATCAATGTCTAATTGCTGAGAAAAATATTTGTAGGTGGATGATGGCCATGCTTATGGTAACAAACTATAAAGGAAAAAAATGGCTGCAGTTGACAGATTTTTTTTATTCAATCAAATGTAATTTTTTAGGAAAGGGGCATTTGATTAGTTGAGGACAATGATTTATTTGGTGAAGTGTGATTATATCTCACCCCATCAGTGGTGGAAAAAGTACTCAATTGTCATACTTGAGTAAAAGTAAAGATACCTTAATAGGATATGACTCAAGTAATAGTCACCCAGTAAAAGCTACTTGAGTAAAAGTCTAAAAGTATTTGGTTTTAAATATACTTACAGTGCATTCGGAAAGTATTCAGACCCCTTGACGTTTTCCACATTTTGTTACGTTACAGCCTTATTCTAAAATTGATTACATAATTTCCCCCCCTCAATATACACACAATACCACATAATAACAAAGAGAAAATAGGTTTTTTAGAAATGTTAGCAATTGTATTAAAAATAAAAATACCTTATTTACATAAGTATTCAGACACTTTGCTATGAGACTCAAAATTGAGCTCAGGTGCATCCTGTTTCCATTGATCATCCTTGATATGTTTCTACAACTGATTGGAGTCCACCTGTGGTAAATTCAATTGATTGGACACACACCTGTCTATATAAGGTCCCACAGTTGACCGTGCACGTCAGAGCAAAAATCAAGCCATGAGGTCGAAGGAATTGTCCGTAGAGCTTCGAGACAGGATTGTGTCGAGGCACAGATCTGGGGAAGGGTACCAAAACATTTCTGCAGCATTGAAGGTCCCCAAGAACACAGTGGCCTCCATCATTCTTAAATGGAAAAAGTTTAGAACCACCAAGAGACTCTTCCTAGAGCTGGCCGCCCGGCCAAATTGAGCAATCGGGAGAGAAGGGCCTTGGTCAGGGAGGTGACCAAGAACCCGATGGTCACTCTGACAGAGCTCCAGAGTTCCTCTGTGGAGATGGGAGAACCTTCCAGAAGGACAACCATCTCTGCAGCACTCCACCAATCAGGCCTTTATGGTAGAGTGGCCAGACGGGAGCCACTCCTCAGTAAAAGGCACATGACAGGCCGCTTGGAGTTTGCCAAAAGGCACCTAAAGACTCTCAGACCATGAGAAACAAGATACTCTGGTCTGATGAAACCAAGATTGAAATCTTTGGCCTGAATGCCAAGTGTCACGTCTGGAGGAAAACTGGCACCATCCCTATGGTGAAGCATGAAGCATCTCTTTCTCTACAGCATTGGTTTGTCAGATATGTTGTAAATGAAGCCCTTGGGTCTCAAACACCATCACCACTTTCTACTCTGACAAAAAACTATTGCTTCCTACCTTGGCCCTCTTTAGACGCTCCACTGCTTTCAGTATCATGATCTCTCTTCTTCCGGTCTTTCCATTACAGACCATTCCGATCCTTGACCCTCATCCTCCCGCTCCATATCAAAACTGACACCTGTATTGTTCACATTCTAGCACAGCTGTTGCTTCTCCAACCTTTTCTCCATTTCGTCCGCACTGCTCACCGCCATTTCGGCAGTCAGACTTCCAAACTTCTCACGCACCAACATCTCATTCCGGGTAATGGAAACACCTCAACCACTACATTTTTATTCCACAATTTTATGAAGAAAATATTTTTTGGGTATGACATTACATCCAGCTGTTTTTAGTACAAAATAGATTTAAATGGAAACTCAACCTAGCAGGCAATTGTCACATTATTTTCAATGAGAACTTTCTAGATTTTGACAAAATCACTGGACAAGTTAATGGAAACATAGCTAATGAAAGCAATGTCTTGAAAAATGGAAAGCAGTTGGGAGGCAAAATCAGGTGGGACCATTCTAGCCAATGAATGAAAGGGCAGATACACATGTGAACAGGCACAATGGTTTCCACAGCCAAAATTGGCTAGACCCATATTGTAAAAATTCATTAACTAACTTTGTTTGAAGGTTAGGTTTAAAAATCATATTAAGAGAAATTGTAGAAATAGGCAGGGTTTATGACTGGTAACTAGTAACAACCAGGCACAACTCCGATAGTTTTTTCTCAAAGTTGCCTGGATGTCACGTCCTACTTATAGTAGTACACTTGAAACAACCTAATCATTGTAAATAGAGCTGAATAGCGATAAAAGTCACTTTGTCCGAGAGACATTTACATGGTTATCAAAACATCACCAGGGTAAGCCTACACGAAACACAGCCCTTAAGTGTTTCTAAAATTCCTTATGGGAAAAATGAATGGTGGAAAAACAATTGGAACCATTTCCCCGTTTTACCGCTGAATATGCATAGCCAGCTCGAGGCAACTCCAATAATGTTTTTTCTCAAAGTTGCCGGGATGTCACATGTCCTACTTATAATCAGTACACTCATTAAAACGTAAGCATCATGGAACTTTTATTCGATCAAATAAACCTCATGTAGCAAATAAGCCATTTTTGTTGACCAAATTCAACACTCAATGACTGCATACAAAAACTCCTTGCTTGGTGGGCGAAACAAAAAAACGCCACCTGCTGGAGGGAGACAGATTTTCCGCCAAGTTGGGCGCCTCTTATAGCAGGGAGCCCACTATAGTGTGAGCAGGGGGCCATTATTGAAGGAGATTTTTTTAGTGGACTATGAGATAAAACTGAGTTAATCACAAACATATAGTTAGAATTCTCTGTTGCTAGGCAAGAACTTAATTGGATCATTTCACGGTGTGTGTGTGTGGGTGAAGTGGGAATCTGACCTAGGGTCGAATTGCTCACTCTTACTTAAATCCATGGCTGTCCTACCTTATCAGAGACTGAAACCAGACTGTTGCCTAATGCATCTCTCCTCAGTGAACCTGTCATGTCCAACAATCAATCTTCAGGTCAAGCTCGGGTGAGCTGGGGTTGAACAGAGTTTAAACTAAACATGAGTGTTTTTGCAAGATAAGGGATTGATTGATTGTATTACTATTGATTCTGAACTGAATAAAAGTTGAATTTAGCAGCCATCATAGACAAAGGAAGTGGGCAGAGCGATAGAGAGCGGGAAACTGAAGAGTGAGGGGTTTTGAGCTAGAAGGGATGAGAATGGGACTATATAGAGAGAGGAGGGAGGCTACTCTGCAGACCAGCACAGCTTTGTTTGAATTGTAAATAAAGTCAAATCTTGATTCTACAAAAACTCTGGAAGAACTTTGATTTTTAATAAAGTATAGTGATTATTTTCCACATAATTGGCGCCCAACTCGTGGGGCTGGGCAAAGAGGTCTTTGAGTGCTTCGCCATTTGAGAAAGTTTGAGCGAGTCACACAGATAGTGGCCACTGCTAAATAAAGGTAAGCAGCATTCTTACTATTAACATTGAACGGTGTGATTCGAACAAGCTGAATCTGAGGGTAGGGTACGGAAGGGGTCTCTTCAGCATTAAGGACTAAATTTAGGAAGAGTACAGAGTTTTTGTTGGAATGAGAAATAAGCATGCATGCAATGTTATTGTATATAAGTGTAAATAACTTAAATACTACGGATACCGCTTTGGAGAGCTAAAATTAGCACCCCAGAGGGCTGAATGGGTAGGTGGCTAGCTCTACGGTTACCGCTCTAACGTGTTTATCATTGTTAGAGGCTGCTCAGGGGTAGGTGACACATCAGCCTGTGGGGGCACTAATCAGACAGCTAATCAGGTAAAAAAGTAAGTAATCCTAAGTGACACCATAAATTGGAAGTCGCACCAGTCATCTCAGGTAGGTGGACAGTTGTGAACAGCCACCAGGGCTTCAAAGTATAGAGAAATAATTAGAGTAGGTCAGCTCATCTCGTATTTGCGAATGGTTTGCTTGAGCGGCTGTGAGTCTTTCAGTGATTAAGGTGTATGTTTCGTCGGTCTCATTCAGGTGGCTCATTTGGTCAGCTTGATCAATTAGCTCTGTTCAATCGTCTGATACATTTGTTCGTCCTGCGGGTCCTTCTGTCTGATTCATTTAAGCACGAGTGGTTGCTTATCTGCGTGAGTGATCGGACAATAAAAATCCTGCAAATAGCCTTTTCTTTGTGGAGAAAGTGTAAGGAAAGGGACTATATTTTAGGTCGTTTGAAGCGTCTATGGCTGGTGGAGAAAGGGCAAGCCCAATCTTGCATTAGGAAGAGGATAATTAATAGTATGTGGATATTCATTTACTAACAGAGTGTGGAAAAGTCACGTTACTAGGAGAAGGGGTGTGTGTCTGTTCCCGGAGGGGTATGATACATTCTGT